TATATATATATATATACATACATGAGAGATAGAACATAAAGTAAAGAAAAAGATAGTCTCGGAAAGAGCAATATTTGCCAGACCCGAGGAAAAGTATGAAGCTATGTGATCCACTACTACTAGTAGCTTTTAGATGTAAAGACTTATACTTTATTTTGTAAATTTTGTTTATACAATGTTTGATCGTTCACGCATAATACTATTGTATGTGAAACTAAGTTAATAAATCATTAACATGTGAAGTTGAATCCTGTGTAGTCTATTTCGTTGACAATTTCTTGATAAATAAACTTATACTCTGATGATTCTCTTTTTGAATTTAATAATAAACAAGATATTCTATATTATAATATATTTTACGAGTTTTCAATTATTCTTTTAATGGAGTTAATTAATCTTATGCTTGTTATACGTACGGTAATCTAAATTTAGTACCGATAGTCAGAATAGTAGTATACTACTAAATATTATTGACTCTTTCGTTTAATTGTACGCATTCATTCGTTCGTTTCCTGGTATGCCGATATGTAAAGGCATTTATGAAATGGGTATGTAAAATCATTTTAATTAAAATAATTAATAATTTTTTTCATATATAGACAGGAGGACAACACCATCTATTGAGGGGTGGTTAAACTCACTGAGGGTTAATTTGAATAATCGATTTATATCAAATTTCGTGTTATTTTTGCGATAGAAACAATCTTGTAATATTTAGAGAATGTATGTTATGTGAAATATATTATTGAAAATGTGTGTGCTCCCAACATTTAAAAAAAAATTAAATCGAAAAAGGATGACATATATAAAAAAGTTGCCGACGCAGTATCTATTTTAATGACAAAGATAGATGTCAGGATCATCCTTGTTAGAGTGATGTTAGAATCAACAGATTTAGAAACTCTAATATTGATTTTAAAAAAGACAATTTTTATATAAATATAGAAAATTCTTGTGTATGTGTATGAAAATCAAGAAAAGGAAAGACAAAGAAGAATGTTCTTTCATTAATTCAATTTCCGCATTTATAATTTTATATACATTTATTGATAATTTTAAGACTCTTTAATTGAACTATATAATGAAATCTACTTGAGAAAAATGTAGCAATACGTATTCTTTTTTCTTGATTTATTAAAATCACGTAAATTTCTCTCGGGATGTAAAAGTTTAAAAGAGAAAAATAATAATAATGAATTATGAACTTTTCATTTTACAAATGTGAAATAAAGATAAATTTTATTCTTCAATTTTAGATTAAGGCTAAATTCATTATTTGTATAATCTTTTATATTTTTATTAATCTTGCATCACGTGTCAAAAAAAAAAAACGATTTCATACACATACATCGTCACTCGGAAGAAGGTTTAAACTTAAATTGGTAAATAACACATACGCATATTGATTTTCAATCGAATAGTATTTCAAAGGTTTATAATAATAAACAAGATATTCTGTATTATAATATATTTTACGAGTTTTCAATTATTCGCGTCGCATCTTTCGATGAAAGCTTTCAATACTATTCATTTGATGAGATCTTTTTTCTGTTATATAATTTACCATAGTTTAACAACTTTTCTATTCAATTTACAAGAAATTATATTAATTTGTTTTATATTTTATTATTTTTATTATATTGTTTTTCATTATAAAGTATTTATTCAGGTAGAAATGCTTTAAAAAGATATTTATTTAATACAAACGATCATTGCTTTTAATGGAGTTAATTAATCTTATGCTTGTTATACGTACGGTAATCTAAATTTAGTACCGATAGTCAGAATAGTAGTATACTACTAAATATTATTGACTCTTTCGTTTAATTGTACGCATTCATTCGTTCGTTTCCTGGTATGCCGATATGTAAAGGCATTTATGAAATGGGTATGTAAAATCATTTTAATTAAAATAATTAATAATTTTTTTCATATATAGACAGGAGGACAACACCATCTATTGAGGGGTGGTTAAACTCACTGAGGGTTAATTTGAATAATCGATTTATATCAAATTTCGTGTTATTTTTGCGATAGAAACAATCTTGTAATATTTAGAGAATGTATGTTATGTGAAATATATTATTGAAAATGTGTGTGCTCCCAACATTTAAAAAAAAATTAAATCGAAAAAGGATGACATATATAAAAAAGTTGCCGACGCAGTATCTATTTTAATGACAAAGATAGATGTCAGGATCATCCTTGTTAGAGTGATGTTAGAATCAACAGATTTAGAAACTCTAATATTGATTTTAAAAAAGACAATTTTTATATAAATATAGAAAATTCTTGTGTATGTGTATGAAAATCAAGAAAAGGAAAGACAAAGAAGAATGTTCTTTCATTAATTCAATTTCCGCATTTATAATTTTATATACATTTATTGATAATTTTAAGACTCTTTAATTGAACTATATAATGAAATCTACTTGAGAAAAATGTAGCAATACGTATTCTTTTTTCTTGATTTATTAAAATCACGTAAATTTCTCTCGGGATGTAAAAGTTTAAAAGAGAAAAATAATAATAATGAATTATGAACTTTTCATTTTACAAATGTGAAATAAAGATAAATTTTATTCTTCAATTTTAGATTAAGGCTAAATTCATTATTTGTATAATCTTTTATATTTTTATTAATCTTGCATCACGTGTCAAAAAAAAAAAACGATTTCATACACATACATCGTCACTCGGAAGAAGGTTTAAACTTAAATTGGTAAATAACACATACGCATATTGATTTTCAATCGAATAGTATTTCAAAGGTTTACGATCAGCCTTCTGTGAAATTTCTCTCGCATCAGGTTATCGTTTTCGTGCGTCATAGTATCGGCAGCTCTCTCTTAGTCGCACGGCGTCGAGGATATACGAGTAAATCGGTCGCTCTCGTATACAGAAAAGAAAAACCCCGGGCTGAGATTGTCTGTATGAACCTGACGGCTGTATAGATTGGCACTGAAACGATCGCGTTGCCTCGCAGGCATAGCATCGCGATGCAGAAGCCGATTCTGAAACACGCGAAACGAACGAGATGCGTTTTCCGTTGCTTATTTTCCTCTCGAGAACGTACCCGAGCGTGTGCTTGTATAAGAATACGTTCATATGCACGAACGTGTACCAGGATCCACTCTTTTGCCAATTTGATCAATTTTACAAGGATAAAAACTGATATACTTTAGATAAATTCTCCATTGTACATGTGTAGACGCAATGAAAAAGAACCTTGCACACTAATTATTTTGTTGTTATTATAAACAAATGTAATAAGGTTTATTTTCCTTCATCGAAATATATGCTGTAAAATATAAATTCAACGAAATTTTATTGATTTGATGCTTGCCGATATATAACCCCATATTTAGAGAGATGCTGGTAGACATATGTATAATCCCGAAAGGATCTGACGTATATATCTTTGAAAGTCTTAAACGCAAACTACGCTAGTTACGCTACTACGAGGCTATAGCCTTTGTTTCGGGAACCTTAATAAGGACCTATAATGTGCCTCACTAAGGCCGTCCCTGTGCACACCCCATAACGTATGGCACGTACAATCG